ATAATAAATTCAGGTTACATCAGACGTGACTCTGACTTTATACTCTGAAATTACTTGATAAATGGCTCGACCGTACATGTACCTAACAGTCAAAGGTTCTGGTGTAGCACCCCAGAAATAGAGTACATGGCCGAGAAACCGGCGAAAAGAGACCACCGCTACATGTATGTGTATTTATCTTCTTCTTATTCTCTACGTGTCCGTCTGTTTCATTTAAACATTTGCTCTCTCTCCCTTGCTTTCGACATTCGTCTCCAACTTCATTCTTTACGTCTAATTTATTTTCTTTCTCCTTATTGTACATCTTTCTATCTCTCTTTTCAGTTCATTCTGTTTTTCTCTCTGTTTATTTTCATTCCTTTATTAATATATACGTATGTACTTATTTCGGGGCGTGATGCTGACCACTCACCCCCATCTAGTGCCGAGGTCAAGAATGAGTAGGAGCTATACCTCCTCTCCCCCCAAGCGCCTACATGGCGTATAGTGGGACAGCTTTTTTATGTAATTATTTACCCGTGTCTGAAAGTCTCATCGTGAGAGATTTTATATTCAAATGATTGATTCAATGTCGTTATTATAAAATCACTAGGACCTCCATTCGTGTTTCTCCGATCCTGTCAGAATTATTTTATGACAGACGCGCCAATTACCATCTGGTGGTTTGTCCTACGTCATGTCAGTCAGACTGTTTAATAAGTTTACTTCCGACCTCAGAAAATTTCTCTTTTCGAAAATATTTTAGGTACTAACAGATCCCAGAACTTTCTTGAGATTTTTTACAACAGCAAATCGAGATTTGAGATTATCACAGCACTGAGTTGTAGGAAGTTATCGACGTTTCGGCGGTACATACTGCCTCCATGTTCAGAAAATAAAATTTTGCCAATAGAATAAAAACATGTTGTACATTTCGAATCATTTTAAAATATCCTAGTGTAAATATGAAGTCATAGTCTGTACAAATTATAGGCATTAGTCTGGTATAATTTTACCGACGTTTCAGAGATGCTTGCTGGCCTCCTCATCAGGATGATGAATGGTTTTTAGGTATTATATTTTCTAACGGCAGCCAGTATGGACAGACAGTCTTCTGAGATCTTGCAACTGTGCCAAAGAAAGTAACTAATAGTCGCCCAAGTTACACGCCGAAATATTACCATTTTTTTACTCCATATCGGTGTTCGATCCACATGTACGTCGAGCTGCATACATTGCAATGCAAGGGACGTACTTATTCTTTCCGGCCTTGTGTTTGGTTTACATACCTAATGACAGTATTCACAATTAATGTTTATTATTACTCTCTCAGTTGCTGATAAGCAAACTAGTCACGTAATCTCCCCGAGCCATTGTGTTAATCCCTACACCCTGAAGTCCCCCACAAGCTGTTTAGTCCGAGACGACTAACCTTACCTACTTTAAGCTTGAAAGGCGTATAGTAAATACTGTTTACGTTGTATATTACCGCATCCTTCCTAGAGACTCAAACACAAAGCACTAGTTGTAATATAACCCATGGAAGATGGCTGCCCTCTGGGTTGTGGCGGTAGAAGTTTACCAATGGTTTAGAGGTCCCTAATGCCGCCATCATCAGGGCGAGATTGTTCATCGCCTTGAGGATGGAGGCAGCAAGGACCTCTCAGACGTCGATGGACTAATACCAGACTGCATGGCCCCACAACCCAGAAGACAGCCATCTTCGGAATCACCTCCATGAAAACTTCAAATCTTTCATCTTTGAGCCTTGTCTGATCTGATAACTAACTAACTAACAAGATGGCTTACGGAGCCCAAAGGTTCATCACCGAATTAACCAAAGCCCTCCACCGGACCCTGTCCTGGGCCAGCAAAATCCAGTCTCCTTCAACTCCTCTCTCCCATAGATCCCGCCTGAGATTATCCTCCCATCTACGTCTAGGTCTCTCCAGAGGTCTCTTCCCCTCAGGCTTCCCAACCAGTACCTGGTGCACACCTCTTGTCCCATCCATGCGCGCTACATGCCCCGCCCATCTCATTCTTCTCGACTTAATCACCCTGACAATACTGGGGGAGGAGTACAGATTTTTAAGCTATGTCTGATCTGATATGGGAAGATAATATTAAAATGTATCTTAAAGAAATATTATGAGAAAAGACTGGATTAAGCTGGCACAGAAGAGTGCTCACTTTGCATTTTCTGGGGGAACATACTTATGAAACCATAAAAGTTGGTCAGTAGCTTTGGCATCGAACTTTAATTGAAAATTGAATCAGTGCAGAAGTCAGATAATAAATCAGGGTGAGAAAAAGTCTGGAGGGACTGAGTAAAACCATGAGCAGTCGGGGTACTAAACGTGTGGGTCGATACGCGGGACCAGCCATGGCGCGCGTGCACTGCCCATAGTCAGCAATGTAAAATGTGCAATTTACGGCAGTGCGATCTATAACGACGCACTTGTGCACACTGATCACGCATCAGGTGACTGACATCTGTGGGTGCGGGTCGCAACGTGGATGCTGGTCCCCGCATCTGAACTCTCTGCGTTTCAATGCAGAAAGTGTTTTTCTATAATTCTGTGGGGCAATTGAATATTTCCTGAGAAACTAATAGCCACTTATTGACGAATTTGGTCTTCTGGGAGTTGTAACGCCACGTTAGACATGTAGGTAGATACCCAAGTTTCGTACGACTAGCACTAAAGATGGAGGCAGTAAGTGCCAGTACATTCCTCCTACATGTATCTGTATCTTATTTAATCGTGAACATGTATTATTTTATCTCTGGGTATGAGACATGAAGACAAAGGCAGATCTGTTTTAATGCTATTCTTCGACTTGGTTCGATTTATAAAATTTCCTCACTTGGGAACACCCTGTATAATCTGCTAGCCAATAACAGAGCGTAACTTCTAGGATTCTTGCCACGTATCCTGTTGTCCAAAGCAAGGAACTGCGGCAAAGAACTTTCCCCCCGACTAAGATTGTAATTTTCCGATTTCATCAGATCTGAGTCCTGAAGGACGCAGGAATTGATCTGAAGCCTTCGGGAGTGGGTAGAGTCTCACTTGTCCTTCTTTAATTGCGTTCCTACTGACAACAGAAACAGCGCACAGAGTCTCTGCTCACCATCCCACAGAGGGAATTATCCAGTCTGCAGGCACCTGACTGAGAATGGAAATATCTTTATTTGATAGCAGGTAGATAGATGATTCATACATCTGAAGAAGAACTGGTTATTAGTAAGCAGACACTTAAATATCAGATGCATAGAGAGACATTTACGTGATTTGTTGATTAATTCGTTCACCGAACGAGTAATAAGTCTAAAATTCACTTCTTAGTGTGCACGGTGATGAACCTTCGTGTTCCATTAAGAAAGTGGGTTATTCTTTGACAAGCCAAGTACACAATCGACTTTTCAAAGAATATCTTGACTGTACAGGTAACATTTGCACAAGTCATCTTTTAAAAATAATAGCAATACACTTGTATGTCCATCAATTTAAAATATTTATATTTTCTTTAAAACTACAAACAATTCGATGGTAAATTATCATCAAAAATGTCTTGTCTGTCAGTTGGTTGAGAGAATTAAATGCAGGATGTTCGTTTGGTTTCCATAGCAACAGAAAGATTCTTACAGATCTCAAGCAATGTAAAATATGAAAGTGCATTGAATTTCTGAGCGCCTCGCAATATCTTGAGAAATCGTTTCGGTTTATGGGTGTCTGGAACAGGGAAAACGCGTCTCATATCTATCGGGAGGCTGAGGACGAATTCGAAGAGGTGTGGGTGGGAAATATGGTTTTCTCTCTGTATTCGCTGACGCATGACAGAAACATTTCACAGTCACCAGACAAACTCTGGCTTTTGTAAACTGTATCAGTTACATTGAAACAGATATTTTTGGGTACGTAGGCACGTTTTGGGGTTGAGATGATGAGAAAAGTTTAGAAAATAGACGACATCACATTCTCGCGAGTCAGTGAGCAGAATTTTTGTGTTGCCGTTCTCGGTGTGTTTTGGCTGTTTTCGGGGACGCAATTAAATGGAAGAAACGTCAGTGTTGAAGTCCCTCCTGGTGATTCTCGCGTTCGTTCAACTAGATGATTTCGCCCTCCCACGGATTCGAGACGCGGTTCTTCCATTACGTCTCCCGCTGCGAACCGACCCAGTCATCACACGCGACATCTCGCGAGTAGCGTCCCAACTGCGGCTTCAGTATTATTGCATCCCTGCCTGTAACAAAGACAATTATTATTATCAAGCGGGATTTCAGATTTTCACGGCGGTATGTCCGATGATAACTATCTTCTTGCTTGTTGCACCGTGTAGTCTGATAGAAGTTTACCGACGTTTCAGACAATCTTGTTGCATCCATCACGAATGGTACCATTTATTTTTCCTTATTTGATCCAGAATATCCTGTTTCTTCGTCTAATTCTTCCCCGTTCTTTTCCTGCTTGTATTTTAAATGTTTCTCCATCTTCTTCTTTTTCTACTCATTGTTTCTTTCTCTTTATCGTTTTCATTAAACCGGCAGTGATCTTCCAGAGATTTTCCCTTCCTCTCCAACAAATTCTCATTCTAATCTAAAACTTCTTGACGATGGTGAAGAGTCAATTGAATAAAAATTTACTTGGATATTATCCATCGTCTAGTAATAAAACGTAAAAAACGTAAAACGACGTTTCGGAGATGGGGCTCTATCTCCGTCTTCAGGTTCCTACTCAGTTGGGCCCACTAGATAGAGCTAATCCCCATCTCCGGAGATAGGGATTAGCTCTATCTAGTGGGCCCAACTGTGTAGGAACCCGAAGACGGAGATAGAGTACCATCTCCGAAACGTCGTTTTACGTTTTTTACGTTTTATTACTAGACGATGGATAATATCCAAGTAAATTTTTATTCAAATTCTCATTCTCTTTGTGCATTTTTCTCCAAATTCTTCTTCCACGTTGCCATCCGCGTGCTATAGTCCTTCATCTGTCTGATGTTAGTGATGTCTTGTGCCGCAGGTGGGCGAGTGGCGCTGGGTATGTGGCACCTCCTGGCGTTGTTGGCCCTTCCTTTGGCGAGGGGCGACGTCTTCACTCTCGGTTACCTGACGGGGTCCCAACGTCGCCGTGGGGATCACGAGTACGTGCGACCTGGTCTCAGCATTTCGGGCGCAATTACCCTCGCCGTGACGGAACTGAACTCAGGGCCGTTGGGTGATCGCGGACATCGACTTGAGTTTGTGGTGGCAGAGACGCACGGCGACGAACTGGAGAGCATCGCGCGCACGGCGGATCTCTGGACCCAGAACGTGGCGGCTTACATCGGTCCTCAAGAGACGTGCGTCACAGAGGCGCGCATGGCCGCTGCCTTCAACCTGCCGATGATATCGTATGTAAGTACACCACTCAGACAACCTCTGCGATAAAATTTCATTGATAAGTGGAAAATTTAAGCTTTCATTTTTAAACGTTTCGGCAGACAATTCAGTTTCCATCTTCAGGGCGAATATATGTGGGAGATTAGGAAGTCCTTATGAAGGTCTGATAGTAGGAGCGTAGAAACATGTGAACCAGCGTCCATGCATGCGTGATTTATTTTTCACTCCTGCATTTTACCAGGAGATGGAACCAGGCTTATTTAGCCTATTCCAGGGTTCCGTTTTCATACGCCTCCTAGTACAGATTGAGTTTTCGTTTCATATCAGCAGTCTTGTGCAGTTATTTTATTACATTCTAAAATCAGCCATAGATCGGGAAACCTATTTTAAATTCCCTTTAGATATATTTTTTATACATATGTGGTATATTCCACGCTTCAGTTCTCAATGAGATGTTCTGCCATTTTGCGTGCTCGTAAATCGAAATTGTTTGTTGCTAGGATACTGATGTTTCCAGTGATTCGCGTCGAGATTGAATTTGACATGAATCATTTTAATTAATAAAAATTGACATATGCTTATATACTTCATCTGTTCACGTGTTCAAATCTGCTTTCTCTAGTTGGGTGACTGTTCATACCCTCCAGTGACTTTTAGTGTGTGCCCATTTTTTCTTATGGAGTGTTGACGGAACCTTGTACTAGAAAGAAAACATAAATAAAGTAATCTGTCTTCCGGGATCTTGGGTCGCGTAGCGTTTTAGAAATGTACAGACTTTTCATACGTACTTACTGTCTCTTTCAACAAAATTCATTTCCCTGATGATGGCAGCGGTAAGCACCTCCGAAACGTTGGCCGGTACATCCCAGAAGATAGACACCTTTATGCTCGCCGCTGTGAGAATCTTAAATGTCACAACTCCACAACTCAGATATAAAATGGTTATTCAAGTTTTATTTTATTACTTGCATTCGTTTGCCACTAACACAGTTTTCTTCGGAGAGTCGGTGGTTATGCAAAAACTGTCTGTTTATTGCTTGCAGAACAAGTGTCAACTTGTCTCGGTCGACAGTCTCTTACTTTGCGTCTGTGTCTCTTGTCGTCTCTGTAAAATGAGTTCAGATATTCTCGCATCCGCGTTGCTCTCCTTACTTGTCCCTGTCTGACTTTACGCTGTTCCCAGAGATCAAAGCCTCACTCCAAGAGTTTGCCATTATTCAAGGGCTGTGTCGAGGAAATTAATTTACCATTGGCGAAAACATACCACTTAAGAAACATCCGAGGAAATTAATTTAACAGTGGCGAAAACATACCACTTAAGAAACATTTCTAAAATACCTTTGAAGTTGGTGGAATATAGGTCTATGTGCATGGAAGGGTAACAAGGCTATGTAGAAGAGTGAAAAAGATTTGGGCATTGTACTTTTCGAAAAAATAAAAAAAAATTCGGATACAAATCTTAGAAATAAAACTAGGGAACAAGGCTATGTAGAAAAGTGAAAAAGATTTTGGGCATTGTACTTTTCGAAAAAAGAAATTATTTTTCGGATACAAATCTTAGAAATAAAACTATTTCAAATTGAAAGGTAATGAAATGTTACCCTTGAAATAAATGGCTTAGACTGTTTATTCTGATTTGATTATAACCACGTAATACGCTTGGTTGTTTTTGAAGCTACTCTGTACCAGACCATAGGTTTTCTTTATAAATCATATTTCGCCGACGATTTCTTATAACTTGGAAGTAAAAAAATCCATCGAAAAAATTTTAAATTAAAATCTCGCGATTACATTGACTGTCATGACTAATTGCTACAAAAACTGATTTTTGACAATTTTCTCTTTCTACCCATAAATCTCGGTCTATTCATCGCCACGTCCTGTGCACCAGTGCTCCATAAATTTTGCACTGAGTAGGACTGACGCATTAAACTGTAAGGGAAGGTAATGGTGTAGTCTTTTGCGTCATTATGGATTTCTGTCCGCGGCAAGTAATTTACGAGTCTCTAATCTGAATCGCGTGTTCGCCTTGCAAGTTGTTGACCCGCATACCTTCGCGTGCTACACACCCACATTCTAAATTCGTTGCTAGGTAGCATTAAATGTGTTTTTTGGGGGCTGGTTTTCCAAGTCTGCTGTCTTCGTATGTTTGTGCACAACTTAAGGACGAAGTCTTGTGACGTAAGACTCTTTTAATTCCTCGAATTAAACGCGTCAGGATTTGTTCAGCCGTCAGCTTTCTTCTGTGCATTACTCTGTAAACTAATGAATAACAGCAGTCAATTGTCTTCACATTCTCTCTTGTTTTCCATAATACAGAAACCCTGCAAGATTATGGCAGTGATATTTGTCTTTTATTTATTTAACTTAGTTGTTCGTCGTTTTCCTATAACAGAATTATACGTTACTATGAAAACATATCAATAATATTTTTGATGTTGGTTTTCTGGGATAAACGTCGCGTCTCTATGGCCTGCAACGTTGAGATATAAAAGCCCACACGACGTTAAAGTCCAGGACAACATCAAGATTTTCAGCGTCGTGAGAATATAAAATCTCATAAGCTTTGTTTGAATAAAGCCGGAATCTAAAATATTAACTGACCAATCAGCTGATTTTGACTTTAATATTTTAATGTTATCTTATATCAGTTTATAAAATTCTTCAGTGTGTCTACAAAGAAATGTGTATGTTTTTTCCCCACGCGTGCTACATGGCTAGCTGAACGAAATCATCTTTACAATGCTAAATTAAGAGTAAAAAATTCATAACTTCCTTTTCATATGACATTTTTCATTATTATACTGGTCTACTTTCGTGTCTTGAATTCAAATATTGTTTTCCAAATTTCAAACGTTCGTAACTCCAGTCCAAGTTCTTAAAGTTCTCTCTAGCCCCGTCACGTGCTGTTAAGTGAAGACTTGGGAACAAAAGTGAGCTAACCGGAAAGTTACAAAATGCATAATAAAAGTAATCTCACTACCACTTTTTAACACATATTCTGGCAAAACCACTTGTGGATCGCTGTGTTTACATTTGCGTTTTTTTTTACAATTTCTCAAGATTGAATTCGTTTTTTTTTCTATGTTTTAACGAAGTGTGGGTTAGCCCACTGTTGCTCCCATGTCTCCGTAATGTTTTCGCCTTTGATGTTCTGTCTGTCAGCCTAATAATTTTTGTTTAGCTTTGTCTTCCGTACCTCAGGAAGTTCCGTCGCTTGTCGACACGATCTGGTAGAATGTTAACACCAAGATGCCTTTCAGTCTCTCGAGAAACACTTATTTTTAGTAGATTCTTATGTCGTTATTAATCTATGATCGATGTTTGTCACCATGATCAAATTCTTTGAGTTTTAGAATACAGTGATGATTAATTATGATTCAATAAACATTCTTATCTTTTTCCACTTGAATTTTATAGCCTTGTTAACGAATAGATAATTGAATGTGGATTCCCTATAGCTCTGATTATAATCGACACTAAGCCTGTTAAACTAACTAGACTGAGCAGAGATCTCGAGAAGCTGTTAGTCGCTCAGATAGTCAAGAATTTCCTAACTTTTAACAGAAAAGGAACGTTCATTGACGTGTATTAGTATCCCACTCTGTTGTCCTTACTCTGAACTCAGTTCATCCATTTTAATATCATCCTCCTCTCTGCACATTGGTCTCTCAAATTGTCTTTTCCATTTCAGTTATATTTCCCATTGCTTAGGTCGTTTCAAATATTTCGTCCAAATCTGAGGCCATGGGTAACATTTCGCGACATGGTGGTCCTTCACGGTGGAGAATTGTTAACCCACGCCCAACCCCCTAGCTGGAAGAGGGCAGCTAGTGATGTAGCGCAAGTACGCGAGCATTGTCTATTGTAAATTTTGGAAGAGGGAAGCTAGTGATGTATCGCTAGTACGCGAGCATTGTCTATTGTAAATTAATAGCTCCGAAGTTGCCTGGGAGGTCTGAGTGAAACTACTAAAATCCTCAATGAGCTTAACCCAGAATTAAACTTGGGACTTGTACGACACTAATAATTACACTAACTGTTTTGTTATCTTTCCGCCTTCATTACTGTCGATGGTCAGGTTACCATGGTGATCATGAACTGAGATGGTGTGAGAGTGGGAGTGTCCTTGAGTGTACGATGTTATGACCAAAAATTTCTCAGTAACATCTCCATCTTAAACTTTTTACACAGAAAAGTTTGCGGCAAGTATAGGATGGTTACAAAACAGTCTCACTTTTTCTTTCTGAGTCTTTTGTTGTGAAAATCTTTGATTGAAGATGGTTGTCCTGAAAGTCGTGTAGTCTGGTTGGTGTTTAGCGACGTTTCAGCGGTCATTGCTACTTCTATCAACAAGGCGACAAGTTTTCGAATATCGGAATCCAGTGAAGAGTTGCCTACCCATAGAGGTTTTCTGAGTGAGATTTCAGGTTCTCAAGGCAAAGAGTTTAAAGATGACTTGTCTACTTGGTTGTTTCACCAGAGAGTATCGCTAGTGATGGAAGTAGCAAACACCTCTGAAACGTCGGTAAACTCTTACCAGTCTACACGGTGCAGGAGCCCACCTTCATGCTCGCCATCGTGAGAATTTTAAGTCTCACCGACACATTGACATTTCCTCGTGAGATTCAACGCTCCAGGATAAAATTCCGAGAGGAACTTTTCTTCGTAATTTTTTCACAGGACGTCTGTAATGGTGTCTGCCTCAGTTCCTCATGAAGTGTTCATTAAAGAAGAATGTCTTGCTGTAGAAATCTATCATTTGCGTCTTTAATGATCTTGACGAGTGTTCACTCCAGCCCCGTGCTTACTGTCTACTCCCAGTATTATTTTTGTTCCGTATAGACACTTTCTACAGTATCAATTGATAACTGTCAAGAATCCAGATGTCTTTATAGACCTCCTTGTTCATCTCTGATAATGTAAAGGGTGTGGGGGGTGTAAAAGCTGGCAGTAGGTAAAAAATACCAACATTTGAGATTGGAAACACGTGATATGCAACAACTATAGCACACTTTAAATTTTTCCTTGTTTGCCAAATAACCGAGTTCGTCTATGGTTCGGAACTTTCAGGGCACCATGTATGTATAGGCTATTGATTTTAGTTGCGAAAATCGTGATGTACTAATGAGCGAGCAAGTACTTGAACAAAAGTCCGCTGTTTGCTGTGGGAAAGTCAACGTTCCCATTTCATCCTAGTAATACCCCGAGAAATGTAACCTATTGCACTCGGCTGTCGTATGTTTTTATGTGAGCGTGTCTATTTATTTAACTCTATGACGTTATTTCTCCATATTTCTCATTCCTTTCTCTGTCTGTCGTAATTTTATCTTCCTTCTTACCTCTATCTTTCTTCCATTCCTTGTTTATTTTTCTACATTTGTATTTTCTTTCTTTCTGAGATTTTATTCGAGGAAAAAAAACAAATATCTGTTGACCTCAAACTCAAAGCAGGGCAGTGCTACCAACATATTCTTACTGTTTTCATTTCGAATCAGTTCACTTTATCCGCTCACGGGGGGACATTGATATCGTTTATTTGTATTTGCTGATGACAATAACGCAGTAATTCCTTGCCAGCAAATTGAATATGTCAGTGGAACTTCCGAAAGAACTTTGTTTACTCGCTCGCATCGTAGCGTTCGAGTATTACAAGCATGAATATGGTTTCCCGCGGGCTACAACGGGGAAGTAGAACTGAATCTCGGGGGTGACAACTGCAGCAGCGGAAATATAAAATTTTTAACCTACGCCACCGTTTACGACTCCTTGTTATGATACGTCCGAGTAAAAATCCTTTAAAATCTTCCCATAGTACAGGAATAGCGCAATCTGGCGGGAAGCCAGCGAACCGAAAAACGAATTACATCTTTTTTCATCTCTCTCCGATAACAATCTAATTCATCACAATGAAATACATGATTATGATTTACAGTCTTGTGGGGCAGGCGTATAATCAGCAGAGTTCGTCTGTCTCCATGTTCCTGGCAAGTGGATAGATGGCTGAATCGATAGATGGCTAAGTCGATAGATCGGTAACAATTCCAGTAACGCTCGCCTTTTATCACAACAAGTTAAGAAATACACATTGTAACAATTCTGGCGTGCTCGCAAAGATTTTAGCTTTGGTATTTTGCGAATTTCTCCAACAACGTTGAAGTCAGGGTTTCCGCGCTTTGTTGTTTTTATGTATTTTTGAGGATTCCCGCAGGTGGATCCCCCAAAGAAAGTATCAGAAGGGGATTCTCCATCAAATATTTCCTTGTGATTTAAGGCAAAGAGGTCTTGGTATACAGTGTCCGTTATTTCAACCAAATTAGTGGAAATTGTAATATTTCAGAAACTTTTTGTAAAACCCTCAAATATGAAATTTGATAAGAATCGGTTTAGCGGTTCCCAAGATGTTACGTACTTGAAGACAGGCAGATATGGCGAAACTAACAGATGGATTTTTACAAAATCTGGTTTAAAATATTTCTAAATTCGCGTAGCAGAGCAAATCTCTTACTCGTACCGAGAATCGAGCCCATAGGCCAAGCCACCTAGGTTACATATTCGCCTTCCCGGCTCTAAGGTCTGCCGGTTCTGTTGACCCGCGCGTTGGGCCTTGGAGCAGAATCAAACGTCCAACCCACTCAGTGCTTGTTAAATAGTCGCCTAAAGATATCCGACGTGTCGCTGGTTCGGTGCCAGGGTTTACACTTCACGCATCTTGGAGTCACAAGAAATTTGCTTGTATCCATTACTTCAGCAAAATTTGTGGATAATGAACCCAACACATGTTATCCAATAATATACTCAGACCAACTCCAACTCCCAAGTGTGCAAAAAATCTCTCCCAGGTGTGACACGTCAACATGTTACACAGTGCCGGTAATGTGACAAGCTTCTTATCCTACAAGGCCGAGTTAAACGCACATTTGTTAGTAGTAAACTTTTTTTACAATATCGTACGTATGGCTTGAGATCATAACGATAATTCGCAAGGCTGTGGCGTCTAGAGAGATTTTGGTTTACGTCCTGTAAGAGAAATGGTTGTGCTGGTTTACGTGGTTCTCCTCAGTGCCCAGACAAATTCTGGGATAGTAGCTCGAAATATTAAAAGAACTGTCAGAGATGTTTTACCCTCAGTTTTTGTTTATTGTCCGTTATATCAGTAGATGATATTTGTCGTAAAATATTAATAAACAGAAATAACTTACATAAAAAACAATATTTGAAAACCTACACTAGATTCGAAAATTCTCGAAGTACCAGTTTTGAAGTATGTAATGGTTTAATTTAATAAATTGTTTTTATTTTATTCATTGAATGTGTTTATATATTTTGGAACACTGTGTTTTTAGATCAAGAAAGGATGGAGCTATGTCTCCAATTTCCCACGCGCGTTCGTGGCGTCGGGCATAATTAAGTAGCTTTGGCTGAATTTTCTGACTTAACTTTTGTCTACAAAGAGCTTTTTTTAAATACTCTGCTGCAGAATATTTTGTACTACATGGCTCAGAGTTCACCTCTGTGCTTCAGATCTCCGATTCTCAAAAACGTCACCCACACGACGTGTTAAAATTCATTCACTTCTCTACTGACCACTTCAAAGCATTCGCCAGTCCTTTTGGTACCGTTTTCGAAGTCGCTTTGATCTCATCAAGGCGGTGCCGTGGTCTGGCGACTTTGTCATAAATAAAGAGTTCTGTATGAAGGATCACAGCTGTCTGTCAAAGCCAGATGTCGCTCACTTCAACAGACTGAAAACCTGACAACCGTTTACAGTTTATGTTCTGGAACCTGCGAACTACTGGAATGTTTAAAAAGAATTCTAACTAATGAGTTTCACAGAAAATTTGCGACCGCCGTAATGACCAGTGGGTGACGTTTCGGTACTTCATTAATAAACGTGGAGGGAAATTTTGTAGTATGAAGCTACTTAACAAAGTGAATATGGCTGCCTTCTGTGGTCTGGTAGAAGTTCACCGACGTTTCAGAGGTCCTTGCTGCCTCCATCATCAGGACAATTCGCCCTGATGGTGGAGGTAGCAACAACCCAGATGACAGCCATATTCAGACTCACCTCAAATCCTACATACGTAATAAGGTCTTGGTGTTTAAATTCGGTTCGGTTTTTGTGTGATTTAAATTTCTGTAAATATTGTAGCAGTGAGGACATTTTAATTTTAAAAGGACTAGCATGTTTACGTAGGAAGATAAAAATTAGATGGTTATATAATATGTGCGTATGCAGTGATGGACCTTTGCGTTCTAAAAGAAAAAGATGGGAAATTTATTGACTATCGGAGCGTAGGTGGTCTCTGCCCCGTGGAATGGTTTAGAACTTTAGTTCCCGCTGTGTGTTGCAGTTCTGTATGGATTACGAAACGTCGGACAAGAGCCGATATCCGACGTTCGCCCGAACCCGACCACCGGACACTCAGATCAGCAAGTCTGTGGTTTCCGTTCTACTAAACTTCAATTGGACGCACGTAAGTTTCGGGGGATCCCGGGTTCAAATCTCGGTTCAGAGACCGGCTATCCTGACTCGGGTTTATTGTGATTTTACTCAGTCCCTCCAGGAAAACGCCGGGGTAGTACCGAAAATTAGGTCATGATCGCGTCCATCCATGTCCATTTCGAGACATTATTTTTTCTCCTGCTATTCTACGTTGTATAGACTGAGCTACTGGAAAAGCATCGTTAAATAAACTATGTATAAATAAATAAATATAAGCCATAAATTCTTATTGTTTATATGTGGTGGCGGATATGGAGTTACCCCTTCATAAACAACATGAAAGACGAATTTAAAATAAACTCATATTTATTCTATACAACATAATTAACTAATAATGAATTTGAAATTATATGGATGAAACGTACATTGGCGTTTGAGTAGGAGCTAAGGTAAAACCACGAAATATCCCATTCTGGACAGTCGGTATCCTGGTCGAGATTTAAATTTGGAACCTCCCGAATACCAAGCAGGGGTTGTTAGTACTAGGTCTAGACGTTAATATTCTGAGCTGTATACCGTGTGAACTTGTAGTTAGATACCAGCGTTTCGGAAGGCCATATTGCTTCCATGTTCAAAGCTTAAGACTGAGACAGTATCTTCAGGTCTGATGATGTAGGCAGTATATTAATCTGAAACTTCACGTATAAGTGTACACGGTGGTTTTAGCCTAGAGAAACAAAATCTGTATTCAGCTACGGGCTCTGTTATGTTTGGTTTAAAATATCGAGCTTTTCTACTCGTGGTTTGAGCCTTATAATAATAACGCCATACTCAAGCACTGAGATAAGAGGGCAAGGTCCAGTGTTTACCCGCGCCCGCAGGTCGCCTTCTTCTACCTGAATTCAACCGACTCGGAGTTCCGCAAAATCGGCTCAACTATCCTGCAGGCTCTTCGAGCTGCAGCCATCACCGTGCGTTTTGTCCGCTGCTGGAGTACGGCGTACTACCACGTCCAGGGCTATAAGGACAACCCGTTCCTGCAGTTGGTACGCGACACGTACGGCGACACACGCAGTGAGTAACCAAGTTCATTATCCCTCGTCTTATTTTACCCTTCACCAGGTGGTGGATTAATTAACAACCTATGGAATGCAGGAAGTCCGAAGCGTTAAAGGCACCCATTGCCTCACGCCGCAAGTCTCAAGATTACAGTCGCGAACAGTACTTTACCCTCTTCTGTTTGTTATAATGTTCAGTTGTTTAATTTTAACCGTATCAGTGTTTAAAACTCGGAACGATTTCAAAGGAAACAAATATTTATAAAAATTTAGGAAGTTTTGAGTGAGTTTTTTTTTTTTTCAAAATAAATAAATATCTCCATCTCACGTGATTTCCCGGTCTGCGTCTCCTACATTGCATCTCTGAACCCTTTATTCTCACATCACAAAGTGGTCTTAAGTGAAAATGTATTGAGAAGTGTTGTGTAGGAAGATAATTAGATTTTCATCCGTCTCACGTTCATGAAGCATCCAATTAATTCTTCACTGTCGTCTGAGTGTGTATGTGGAGCTTCTTTATAGTAATGGGTCTATATTTTAAAGGCTCTAACTTATGAGATCGCTTGTGGTTGTCTGCAGTTGAACAGAGGCCGTTTGCTTATTCCTCGTTCAAAAGCTGCTTATCCATCCTATTCGTTTTATAAAGCCGGAACAAAAACACGTAGTTGCCATGGCAACTCGACGCCTTGGTTTATCTTGCTCAGACTGATAATTCCAGTTCATTTACAAGGGCAATTAAATGACTCCCTAAGAAAATAGCTGGCGTACCAGCTTCTCGAGAGCCATTTTGTGACGTCAGTTGTATATTTCTGTATAATAGGCTATGTGTATTATGCTGTGCTGATATCGTTAGTAGTAAGAGATAGCTTTCCGTTCTTGGAATTCTGCCAAATGTGGGAATAGTTACATAGAAACCGTTCCTGCCTTTATAGCCACAATTTTAATATTGTCAGATCTCAATATCGCTTTGATTTATGACGAAGTGCAGATTTTGTATCGTTGCCATATATTTTAATCATTCTTCTCTTTGGTGGAATTAATTTCTCGTTCTTATGTGCTCGTTCCATAATATACATTTTAATATTATCTTCCCATATACTCGTATATGTCTTCAGTTGTCTTATCTCTTCAGTTTGTATGAATTTATCTCCTTCCTATAAAAAAGCATTATGATGTTTGCATTATGAATTATATTTATGTTCATTACAGATTGAATAACGCTTGAATCCCAAGATAATCGCACGAAATTTCTATTTTGCTGGTCATTTTAGCGCCAAAGAAGTTTTGCAGGTGACGAGTGTTTAGCTGTGGTTAGATCCGTGGCAACTGTAAACTGCCAGCCGGAACACTGGGCTTATTTTCCTCCCGCTCGTGTCAATATGCAAAAAGACAGACCTCGTGTCTGCGACTCGAACTTTCAAACGATGAAACAGATTTGGTTCTGAGCGTGTTTATTTTCAATATCGGCATTATTTAATCATCGTACAGAAGGTTTCTTATGTGTGTTTCCTTAATGTTTTAATTTTATTCCAGTACGCGCAGAGGACTTTATTAGAAATAGTAACTTAAAAATCTGTGTCATTTCCAAATGTTTTACTCAGAATTTACAGAGATATATGAACCATATTTCGTACTCAATCAGTTCTGGGGTTAGAAATTATTTCCAAAAGTCTTTAAAGGACGAAAGTAATTTATATCTACCGCCTTCTTTAACACTCAGTAGCTGTTTACAGTGTATTTGTAAGTTAGCATTATTTTATTTGTAGTGTTCTGTCTGACGACAGGTCCATATGAACAGGATCCTTCCATCCTTTTCTCGGACTGGGACCTGTTCATATACGTTCTTGGCAGATGATCCAGAAGTGGTTTGCCATTGCCTTCTTCTGTGTGTGAATGGAGTAATTGTTGGGATGCCACGGAGGAAAACTCCGTGTTGCCTAGACCACGGCCTTGCCCAACACAAGTTATAAATTCGGGCACCGCCGGGAACGAACACGAGACCCCCAGGATTACAAGGCCAGCGTTCTAACCGCTAGACCACCGTGGCTATAAGTTAGCATTATACTGAGCAAACAGCAATTATTTCCTTAAACAACATTAACTACTTTACTATTTTCATGGAGGCGTGTTATATTCTCTCTGAATTTCTGACTGAATTTTTAAATAACATTTAGACAAGCTTCAGGCTTCAAATCATTACATCTGGTCGTAACATGAAGTATTTTGCTAAAAGAACAAATAAATTCTGAGCATGCGCGACTCACTCATCATTTTCTCGTAGACACTTCTGAGACATAAGTTTGTATCTGGAGCAGAAGTTCTTGAAACTGCACCGTGAAATTTGTCCGCAGATTCTCAGCAGAAACGTCCCAGAGTTAATGTCTTGCTTCCATAAATTAAACGAAGCGTTTAACCATGAAACTTCAACACGCGTTCAGAATATGTTAAATCATATTTCACTTTCCATTCTTAATTAACTCGAGCGTTTGGCTCTGTTAACTTATTAAACGCTTTCTTGCTACAGTCATGTTTGTTTGACATTTCCGCTCGCCAGGTATTATTATCAAACAGTTGGTACTCCTGCTACATTCCATTACTGGGGGAGTGTGGTACAGCATAAGTAACGCGAGACTTCGCTAAGTGCCTCCAGCAACAAATTATAAAGCGAAATTCTCCCCAGAGTGAACGGGTTCTGTGAAACTTTCGACGTTTATTAAATACTTGTGATGCGGTAGATATTGTATGATTTTGTATCAGAACGGATTTTTTTTCCGGGGGATAAATTAATAAACTTTGTCAGCATTCTGTTGTTTATTTCGCTAGACTAATTTGATACAATAATGGAAAGGATCTGGTATTTGTTGTTTTAAAATGGAGAAAAATGAAAAATATGTTTAGTGAATGGATATGATATGACTAGCAAATATTATGGCATTTTTGGGAACTGAATTAATTGAACACAGAGCATAATCAAATAGTTGTTGTCATGGAAATACAAGGGTAATATAGATGAATAATTGATCTAGTTACAGGTGATTAGATTACTGAGCAAGTTTTCGGTTTTAATTACTCGAATCATTTTTTTTTTTAAATTTTAATGAGTGTTGCATGAACGATTATACTCGAATCATTTTTTTTTTAATTTTAATGAGTGTTGCATGAACGATTAAAACTATATTGTATTTATATTTATATTATTTTATGAAGTGAAAGATGGTTTACACGATTTGTTACTGGCTAATCAGAGATTGGGTCTGCAGTGGTCTCGCGGTCTGAGGTGCGGGCCATGTGCCGCTTGGTCGCTGGGACCGTGGGTTCGAATCCCACTCAAGCCATGGATGTTTATCCGCGTCTGTGTTGTGCTGTCCTGTGTACAGGTAGAGGCCTTGCGACGGGCCGATCCCTCGTTCAAGGAGTCCTACCGAATGTCTATACATCAAAACCAACGAAAAGTTTGGACCCGCAGTGCTCAGGCACTTGAAGAACGGGTCGTTCCCAGTATCCCAGTAATCAGAGATACTTCAAGAGGTGTTGTATTATGAATAAATACGAGAATACTAACTAGAAGCATTTTGGACAACATGGAAACTTTTTTTAGATCGATAAAACATTTAAACTCAGTACAAAAAAATTGTCTCCAAAAATTTCGTATATATATAAATATGATTTTAGATTAAAACTGTACACAGAATGTCACAATATGTGTATACACATTTAATGATTGAAATAAAGACATTTTAATAAACTAAATCATTACGTAAGTCAGAATTGGCACTTAGCGTATCTATCGCTGGAGTTCAAAATGACCACCTTTAGTTTCGTGGCAAAGTTGACAGCCGTGAGTAACTGACTAACAAGCGGCCACTATATTTTATATATATATTTTTTTTGTGACACCCTGTATTTACCCCATATAAAGACCAATATAAGTGCTGAATTGCAATTTTCGAACAACTAAAACCGATCAGACTGACTTTGATAATTAATAAGGGAGACACAGAATGAGACGAAGATTTATTAGTAATTAATTCAGGGACCTTTTGCTTTAACGCAGGTACAAATCGAGATACGCCGAGGTTAATAGAGACGCTTGGCGTTTTATCTGGTCGAAGCGACGAGGAATATATCGTCACTAGTTACGTGTGCACTTGAGGTTAGTGGAGTGGGGGGGGGG